CCTTCGATCGGCTCCGGAGTCTTGACAGTCGGCGAATGCATTAGTGGTGCCTCTACGCCTTGATACAGGGTCGACGGTCTGGAATCGATAGTGATACGTGAAAGAAGTGTGAAGAAATTGTATGTGCTTTGTCGACTCAGATATACGAGGCTGTCAAATTCAGGATAGTTAGCAGTCTAGGAGCTTCAATGACAGGCGGGAGTAAGGGTAGTGGGTGTATTGGCGGAAGCAAACTACAGGACGAATGATGGGTAGAGGTTGTTGCAAGGGGAGTAGATGAGAAAGTATACATACAAACGAGCTCGATTTTCTTCGTGTTTGGGGAGGAGTGACTATAGGAGTGGGTTATGGCGACAAGAAGCGTGTTGACAGTGCCAGTCGAGTGAAAGAGCCTCGGAGATGCCAGTGACGAAGTGGAAGTTGTCGAGCTCGTTCTCAACAATGAGTACGGTGCAAAAATGAGGTAGAAAGATGAGGGGGAGGACAAGTTGTCTGAAGGGGCACCTCTAAACATTGCTCGTACTTATAGTCGCGTCTGCAACCCCTGATCCAGAGAATCAACCCGTCGGGTCCCCAATGAGAATCATCGATGATGTGTATTTCAACGCTGATGGACAGATTTACAGACCTTCATCAACAGCAAATCGATGGACACGGTCTGTCCACCTGTCACTGGACTTGAAACCCACAATTCTGCATTGATCGCAGGCTAGGATTGGCCGTAACGTCATCTTCCATTCTTTACCTTCACATATTTTTGGAGGAAAAGTGGTGAGATGGATTTACACTGCGAGAATACAGCACCAGCAAGTATTCATATTAGGATGGTTCGATCTGCTGATAAAAACTGGTTCTCTTGCATAAAAATGACCCTAATCTACGTTACGGCCATCTGTCAACCGGTTTAAGGCTTCTTCATAGCGGCGTTGCGTCTCGGAGACCACATTTGTATCTATTGTCCAACCCTGGCCATTGGGCCCCTTCTCTAGTCCTTTAACAAATCCAACTTTGGTCAACCAGTCACGTAGATATTGTTTATCGAAACTAGCCTGTGACTTTCCCTCGGTATAGCCATCGACTGGCCAAAAACGAGAAGAGTCTGGTGTCAACACTTCATCCACGAGGATCACCTCCATCGGTTGTCCTTCGAGAACAAAAGGCGAGTTTGAGTCCTGGGAAGGAATGAGCCCAAACTCGAACTTGGTGTCAGCGATGATGACACCTCTGGTTTTGGCGTATTCTGCTGCACGCGTGTACAGCTCCAAAGCAGCAGAGGATACGCGTTCATAAATAGCAGCACCCACGAGACGTTTAGCTATAAAACATTGTAAGGTGAATGTATATCATGAGCAACTAAATTGTCACCTTCGTCGGGGTGGATGTTCTCATCGTGTTGCCCGGCTTCTGCCTTTGTAGAAGGTGTAAAAACCGGCTCGGGTAATTTTTGTGATTCTCTTAGACCTTCTGGCAACTTAATTCCATGCATTGTTCCCTTGGACTTGTACTCTGCCCAAGCGGATCCTACAAATGCTTCAGATGTGCAGCACAATGAATAAATCGACACCATCTACATACCTGTAATATAACCACGGGTAATGGCCTCCAATGGAAGGACCTTGGCTTTCTTGACAAGCATGGACCGACCACGAATGACATTCGCGTGGACTTGAACATCTGCCGGCATCTCATCCACTTCAGCCGTGATCAAATGGTTTGGAATGACATCTTTCAACTTTTCAAACCAGAAAAGGGACATTTTTGTCAAGATTTCTCCTTTGTTTGGGATTCCCTAGAATGTCAAAAGCAACCAGGGGACCGCATCAGTCAAGATGGTCGAACTTTTCTGAGTATTTGAATATGCATACATTATTAAGGACAACATCGTAAGCCGAGATGCGATCGCTTGCCACAAAGAGCAAGGCGGTAGGGTCTGAGGTCTCGTAGACGTCTCTCACTTTACCTCTTGAAAGTAATTTGAGTCCATCAAGAGTTATATCTGTGAGGGCTTCCGGACTTGACATTTGGTTGAGGTTTAAGACTGATCGTCGCTTAATCGTCGCCAAACTCAGCAGCTTCGACGATTCTACGTGAATGCGAATGTCCCCCTCTATTCTATCAAGTTATGTCTAGGAATTATAATAGATTTGATGCATGAGCGATAAATTATCGTTCAACCGACACCAGCCATGACCTCCGAATGACCTCTCCTAAGTGATCCGCCACTCTAAAGATTCTAAATGATCCTCAGATCTTTTGTACGCTGTCTAGCATATTGATCCTTATACTTTTCCCATATCCTAAAATGTAGATTGGTCAGAATGACTGGGTGCAGTAGTTCATTACTCGGTGCCGACCTTTTTAATTCCTCAATGTAGAGAGCGTGTACCTCAAGTACTTTTTCCATCGAAGGTTGCTCAACTTTTGTCACTGGTATAGGGCGACCGAAAACCGACACGATAGTACGCCGGTAAGGCATTAAACCAAAGTTATCTGCCCAAAATGAACTATAATTAGATATGCTTTAGAGAAGGACGAGATACCCACAATTCAAAATCCCGCGTCCATGAAATAGTGGAAGAGTGAAGCCAAAGATACTTTGAAAATGCTTCTGAATCGTATATAGTGTCGTTCCTTTCTCATTGGGCATTTGTTCGTAGATCTATGTCATAGTTAGTACACAGATATGTGAATTTGGGTCACGCACGTCATTTTCTCCGAAAGAGAAAACAGGGACCAGATCCGCACTGTTTATCTAGGCGTTAGCTGTAGACCGTGGACATGAGGCAGACTAACCCCTGCTGCATAGCAACCTTGATGAACCCAACACTGTTTATGAACTTACGATTAATAACGGGACCAGATAAAGGGTAATGAGGCTTACCGATTCTGTAGTGTTAGGTCAGCAGTGCCTGGATGGGCACTGAGACTTTCTGCTGCGCCACCAATGACGATGCAGATTGAATTGCCTTTTCCTTTTTGGAGGATGTAGTTGCAGCTCTTTTTACTGACGGAGCAGATGCCCAATGCCATCAACAAATCGCGGTACAGAGGTAGCTTGAAGTTCGAAGTTAAGGTCATAAGATAAGGTGTGATTCCGGG